GTTACAGTGGTAGTAGCAGATGTTGCAGCGCGGCACATACCAGCAGCATACGGAGGTCGTAGAGCGTTGGCATCTCCGCAGCGTACAAACCGAGTATAAAGAAGTACTTGCCACAACGCAAGGACGATAAGACTGTTTAGGTGCCATGAGGACTCTGGGGAAGTATTGGGTGGACGAGGGAGTGAGGTTAGCAGTGGAAGATGGGTTCCTAGGAAAGGTGAACATTTCGAATTCAAGACGATGGCGATGTCGGTCGCCGGACACCAAATACGAAATAAATGAATGACCTCGATAAGAAGGAGCAGGCTGATAGTAGCAGACTGTAGTCATAGATGGATCGTGCCCGACCACCAACCTCAATGGCTACAGACGCTGAGTTCATTCTGAATTTTGTTCGATCATCAGTTACGTTAACTGCAAAGAGAGAGAGCAGTGTCGCATACTATCGTACACTAACAATATACTGTAGATTATGATTGTTGGTAAAGACTGTGGACACAGGTTAATTTTGCTTATGTCGCTTGAAAGCGAGTATCCGCGAAAGCTCTTCATTGCTAGGTTTTGTGCTTGGAGGAAGAACCGTTATATCTATAAAACTATATCTATATAACTAATATATCAAGCAATTAAGGAAGGCAAACTATTTTTTAGGAGCTGTTATGCACCGGAAGCATCGACACACGAAGATATATACAGTAAAAAATGATCTAATTAATAGGTCACTAGACAAGCCAAACACTATTCAATATGCTGATGACGGTTCGCTTACCATCCCACCATCTTCATCATACCTTATCCCTACCATCTTAAAAAATGGCAGATATCACCCTTAGAGCTGATCAATCACAATGGCTTTTAAAAAAAGCATAATTATCGCTTTTAAAAATTTAAAAAAAAAACAATATTCTACAATGGTGCTTTTAACGATATTAGCTCAACTGAAGCTTAATGAAAAGATATGCCCATTATCTCTTTTAATTAGCTTCCTTCCAACAAAACTAACCAAACAAAAACAGACATTGGTTAAACCCTAGTAATAGAATCGCAATGCATCAGCTAAATTACGCCTCAACTACAAAGTAAGGTATATATATATATATATATATATTCTCGCATTGTGTGGGTATACACCTCTTTAAGTGAAATTTTCTGCCATGACATGATATTAATATCTAGCGGTTCAGTGATCGAAAAGTCAAACGCAGGTCTGATGTACTAAAGTTCCTCTTTTTTCATCGAAACTTGCTCCCAACAGCAGTAAGGTGGACCCCGACCGACAAGACTTCGCTTCCGATCGACTGTGGCCTGTCTCGATAGAGCTAAATATATCCTTAGGCAAACTCCGTTTCAGTCTGACATCGCTGGGACCACAGTTCACACTGCCTAATCGTGTCTCATAAGGTACCTAGCCATCAGTACGGCGGCAGCAACCGAAATAAGTACCGCTGCAGCAGGTGTGCATGTACAACGATTATGCATGGCGAAACAACTGGGCGTCAACTCAATCCAACAGCCCGATATCGTGAGATATTCTAATATATAAAGGCTTCAACTTCTACGCTCGGTACCTACCGTTAAGCATTGTTTCAAACGGTTGGCTCTGCTCCAAACCTGGCTCATCTTAGCTGTTTCTAAGTAGACGCTCCTACATTTAAACATGTAAGCATTGTGTGGGCGTTGCTTTTCCCATAATCGTATACGTTTGTTCGAAGGGAACGAAATAGGATTTGACCTTTCAATTTACCTGTGGCCAAGGTGTTGAGCGTTCAACACCTTGACCACAGGTAAATGGTTTGCATTGATTACAGATTGACCACATGCCAAGCTAAGTTGATGTGTCGAGACAAACGACTGGTCCTTTTTTAACTAGAACATAGTCGACTGGGACGCATTTGTCCTGCCATTTTCGGACTACGATTCCATTTTCCTCACACCAATTGGACAAAATGGAGTAGTTTTGAGAGCTGACTTATAGTGTCTCGTGGGCAAAATCAGACATAGTTAACCTCTTATTTAAGGTTAGGAGAAGATGAAACGTGAAGTTGAAAGCAGACGAGTTTTCTGACTTTAAGCGTTAGCTTATGCAATGGACAATGATCGTATTAAGTGCACACCCAACAACATAAACGGCCTCTCTTGTATTTCTTTTTCAGTAAGTTCCTGCTTTGATTTTGTGTTAATTATTTTTCTAATTTGCGTCTCGCTTTCTTTCCTTCTGTCTTTTTTTCCAGGACGGCGTCCTGGTAGGCGGTGCTGTCGTCGCTAGCCACGTTGGGTGTTTTCTTGTCGTGTGATCCGCCAGAAGCAGGAGGGGTGGGGGGGGGGGTCGAAGGACAAATGAGCTTCAAAATTCCTTTTTTAATGGCTGCAAAAGAAGAGACGTTTAACACCTAGGCGATATTTGAATGGGGTGGAGCGACTATTTTATTATGGATTACGATAGGAAAGATAGAAAGACTTAGCACAGTACGATTACCCTGTCAGGCTGCTTTTTAGTGCTATACTTAATGTGTATCGCGCATTGTCAAATGATTCTAACCGCTGACGTAAAAAATTGTAATTCAAATACTTAATGCTCAGGAGCCGTTCTATGTACCAATTAATCTAAAAGATTTGGTTTATACTTCAGTCTGTGTGTATGCATTTCTATAATAAAAGCGGGTGTACAATCGAATGTCCACTGAACGCCAATCTGTAAATCTCAGACCAATGCTCCTGGGTCTTTGCAGAAACCGCAGAAAATATCCTGTGTTGTACTGGTGTGATCCGAGTCACCCGTTTTCTTATATCCTACAATTTGTCTGTCACCGAGTCGCTGATGTCTCCCGACTGATGCGGCAGGGTTGGATGTTCGTCTCGTCAAGGCCTGCCTTCTCCAAGAAAAAAGGAGGATTCTCTTCTCGCCCGTTTCCAGACGAATGTATTTTACTGCGAAGCAATACGACTTGTATGACAATGGTAGGAGCAGGAGATCCCATGGATAGGGTCGGACAGATATATATATTTACCACAAGAAGGATTCGCTGGCTCATGGGAACTACATCGTCCCATTCACATGTCGATCAGGCTGATCCCCAGATACGTGTTGATCGTTTCAAAAAGCGAAAGTTTTGGGATTTAAGGTCAACGTTTACGGAAGTATCACGTAATATATTCTAGATTTAGACGCCCCGCAATGTTATCTAATATCTTCCTAATTATATATATATGAATACGTCTTAGCTATATACCTTTTATGTTTAATAGTTTTACGACTGGGCTACTCTCTCGCTCGGAAAATTCATCCAACATCAGATAGAGTAATGCAGACAACAACTCCATACAATGATATCTCACCAGAAGGGAAGCTGTGGGCCGAAAGATGGTGGTTGATACATTTACTATCCAAGCGCAGACGGGATTCTAAGTGCTTGTGTTCTATTGAAATGCGATAAATCTACAGAATCTTAATAAGCGACTTTGGAAGATCCCTTTTTAGTTTAATAAACATAAGTGACGGATATGAGATGTCAGTAAAGTGGTGATTAACATAAGCCCAAGCTCGGTGAGTAAGGCCGACATAATTCTACCCCACTGATTTCTTTAAAAATAAATCGCGCTTTTTTAACTAATTTACAATTTTAATATAATAGTTTATTAAAAACAATAGTGCTACAGATAATGACTGTCCAAAAATAATTATTCTAACTTATTCTCCTGTTTCGGAAATTAAAAAGCCTTGATAGAATAGTGGTTCAGTGTTCCATAGCGCACAGGCATGGTCACATACATACACAATATCTCATCTGATAATTTCATAGCATGACACAGGACGAAGAGTTGGAGAAGCAAGCGATCGCCGTGTGATGTCTGATCTGTTCGTCTCTGACTAGTTGTTACTGCTGTTGTTGTTCTGTCTGATGAAGTTGTGGGCCGCACGATAGTGGGGCCCTCGAAGCGGGTCTGTACCGAATGGACTGTGAAAAAAGACGACATTTGTGCTGGTCGCTGATGCGATAATAATTAACAACAGTGAAGAAACTTACCGTTTTTTCCGCTATTTCTTTTCTTCACCTTTGTTGCGGCCACCGTTGCCAAAGCGGACGACGGGTGAACTTTCGAATATCTTCCAGATGGCACCGTGACTTAAGATCCACTACTTCGAAGGCCTTTATTATTTGTATATAAGTCGAAAATTACAATGATGCTATATAATTTTTTGCTCTCGTCCTTACTCACGCTGAATTTTCTGTGTGTTTGCCATTAGGTTCCCTCTTCGTTTGCCTGGTGCACTGATTTCCCCTAGCTAAATGAGATGTTCATGTCCGCGTATCGTGCATTGTATATGTTTTATATGATAATCATTGTATACATGTGAAGCTCTTAAACATTGCTGATTTAGTCGTGTAATACTCCGTCGCAAGCAGATCTATACTGATAGAATATGGAAAGTCAGGAGGCCTTCTTACGGTGGCAGACTGATAAACTTCGATAAAGCACACATTTGAACATATCGAATCGTAAATCGTATGAGAGCTGTGCTGTCGTAAAGCGCATAAAAATGCCGCCGTATACGCACCTTTAGCAATGTAGGATATCAATAGGTTTACAGCTGCCGTCTTAATAGAAAACGTTATGACGTTACTAGGGAGCGTATATTGTAATTACGTAATGGTTTCCGTTAAGGTAAAAAACGTAAAATAACTAGTGAGATGTTAACGATTTTTCCCTTTATGAAAGCTTATACGTAATATGCCAAATACATTTTTGGCCCGTTCACTTTGAGTGAGCGAGAGACTGAGAGAGAGAGAGAGAGAAAGAGAGGGAGGGAGAGAGAGAGAG